GAAACGGGTCACTCTGGTGCTCATGGGGCTGGATGCTGACACCAGATGGTGATGTGAAACGGGTCACCCTGGTGCTCATGGGGCTGGATGCTGACACCAGATGGTGATGTGAAACGGGTCACCCTGGTGCTCATGGGGCTGGATGCTAACATTAATGCTCGAGTGAGGTTTCAAGTTTCAGTATGTAACCAGCCTGCCTGTTGTGTGTTCTCAAAGTAAAACATCAGGCAGTATTGTCATCCTGTCCCCTGGCTGATAACGGCTGACAGCAGAACTCTTCTGGGACTTGTAGCACGACGACTGCCGGTTCAAGTCTCCAACCTGAAGCATGATGCTACCCAAGAGATCCAAAGCAATATACAAGGAGGTCGCTTGGGGACCTCGAGGCCAGAAACCAAGCAGCGTCACCTTCCCTGCCACAGGCAGCCTGTCCCCAGACTGACCATGGAAGTGGTTTTGACCAGAGCAATGGCTTTATGAATCTGGTTTGGTTAAAAAGCTTAAATATGATCCAGATCCAAACAGCCAAACAGTATAATAACCATTCAAAGCTTCATGTTTATGTAACCAAAGTGTCACCCAAGCAGTGCAGATATAGATGTGCAGTTAATGTATTAGTTAGGCACACAAAGATGTAATGATACCCCAGGCAGTGGACAAGTATCTGTTTGGTCCAGAGAGATTCTTTCCAATCCTAATCTGATGAAGGCAACAAGGGGTCCTAAGCTGTTCTTGATGGGCTCTAGGCCCCAACGCCCCTGTCCAGTACAAGCTGTTAGAAGACAGATGGATATGTAGTAACATAGAAATTCAGTGCACATATATAGTGAAGGCAGCATAGATACTTGTGAATGGAAAAAAATAAACCCTATTTTATATAAATATCTTCATACATGTTGAGTGCCTGTATATAAATGCCACATATCAGTAGTCTTATGTGTTTACTTTTATTGCAAACCATCCCTGCAAGAATACACTACTGGGAAATCACTGACAATAAAGGAATAAATTAATGAAACACAGTGAGCAAATTAATATTGTTTGAACAAATTCAGTATGGATGCAGTGAAGATGAATGAGTAGAGTGTAAATGGCTGTAGTGAAGATGAGTACAGTGTAAATGGATACAGTAATGATGAATGAGTACAGTGTGAATGGATACAGTGAGGATGAATGAGAATAGTGTGAATGAATGAACAGCACTGTTCCCATTGGACTGTGATGCCTTCAGGTCTGACAGCCAAGCCAGGTGACCTGCCAATGGCATTGCGGCCAATCCTGTTCCCACAATGATGGACGCGAGACTTGCCCTTGGCAGGGAAACCCTAAAACCACCTACATCACTGCGCCGCTCACGGGTGTCGCTCTTCGAATTTTCCTGTGACACCTGCTGTGGGAAAACCGAAACAACCAGCGGATTTGGGGGGGGGGCAGACAGACCTGGATATCTGTCACAGCAGAAAAAGATGAGGACTGTGCTGATTGGAGATGCACAGACACACACACACTCGCTGTGCTAACCCATAATGCAAATGAGCACATGTGCATAAAGTATATAAATAAATATTTCCATCATGTAAAAGTGACACATTGCTGGCATCTTATTTTCACAGATTGTATAACGCAGTGCACTGGTATCCCCTGCAGTGGCATCTGCATGCTGCATGTACAGACTGAAGTTGTCCTCCTCTCTCTCACACACACGTCCATGGACTGTAAACATGTGGCCTCACAGGACCCTTCACATGGCCTTCCAGATAGAAGGACCAACTCAAGATTTTGTAGCACTGTGCCAAGCCTGTCACAGTCCTCCAACTTAATAATTAACCGCAGGCTGAACCACATCCCATGAATCAATCTTAGCTTTTTGACTAAGAGCACACAGCGATTCTCTTACAAAAGGGACCCTTATTTTGTTTAAAGCGCTCAAATTCAATTATTGGAAACCTTTCTTTCAGGGTCTTTTGGGGGAGTTTTTGGGAGTGTTACACAGTTTTGAGAGGCTGGATTTTCCCCCCAGATCTAATTGGAAGAGTCTCAAATATTCCTTGGCACCAGAAATGAGGTAATTGCATTTTTTTTGCCTTAATTCTTTTGGGAAAGTATAGGATCTCAGCTTCCTGCGACAAAGCTCCTGTGGAGTGAATGAAGACTTTGACCTGGACCAGAAGAATGAGGAACTTGCAATTGTGTAACGATGAATGAGGTGGATCAGAGTAAAACACAGTAAACAGTCCTTTTCATTGACGTTCCACTTTGTGACCTTTCTGAAGATCAGAGTCCTCGCCTGTCCTCTGTTCCTTCTCAGAGCCCCGTCTCCTCTCTTGCCTCCACTGCCAGCGTCATCCTCAGCTGCCCACAGCCACCCCCAGGGCCCTCCTCATCCGCTCGTACACCACATAAGAAATGCTGACGGCCGGGATGACCTTGAGGAAGTTTGGGGCGATACCGCGATAAAGTCCCATCACACCTTCTTGGGACACAATGGTCCTGAACTGGCCCAGCATGGACAACTGGGGGCTGCCTGTTGCAGTGGCTGTAGGTAGAGAGAGAGAGACTGTAGAACCAAAATGAAGAACGGACACAGGCATGAAAGCCCTGTCCTGCAGGTGTGAGCCACGAGCAGACTGCATTCACTCACCCTGGGCCTGCATGCGGGTCCGGACCAGGGCCAGGGGGTAGCTGGCTAACTGTCCACAGGTGCTGGACACAGTGCCACAACCGACCAGCACAAGGACCCCTGGGTCTGCTGAACTGGCAGTGTTCCTCTGTAACCAGGCGTTCTTCAGGGTCTGGGGGGGAGCAATTGGAGAGAGGAAGTGGACAGTTGCTGCCACAAACGCATACACACTCCTTCCTGCAGAGTCTTGCAGCACAAGTTAAGAGACCAGTCGGACCTCTAGTGTTATCAGCCCAGCACTGTGGAGCTGCTGGTGTTACGACTGTGTTCCTGTGGGAGCCACGCAAACATCAAAGACGTAGCAGGTAGACACTGTTTACAAAAGGAGAGGCGAGAGGCAAGAAGCTGCCAGACTCACAGGAACGTCAAGCATGAACATTAGTCTAAGAGCGGAAAACTTTACGTGGCCAAATGCTCCTAAACAGTGACGGAGTCTCTTCTGGAGAGCTCCGCTTCCAAAGCCTTCGTCTCATCTGTTGGTTTTACACGATCGTAAAGTGCTATGTAAACAGGAAAGGGAGGGGGATGGACATCCCACTTTCCACCCGAGAGTAAATAAAGACCAGACAGTCTGAGGACCAGAAAGAGAACAGCGGGATAGCTATGAGGGCAGGCCGTCACGTGTCTGACAGTAGGTACTGACAGGACTAAGTACAAAAACTGGCCTAAAATGCTTCAGATTCACCTTAGCATTTCTCTGTCCAAAAATGTCACATTTCATTTTTTTTTCACGAAAGTAAAGGATATTTATAATTCTTTTGGCCAACCTCTACGAAATTGTACAAAAAACCCACAAAAATTATCCATTGAAGTGCAGTGATAATTTATGCATTTACATTCAAAGACTAATACTAAATTACAATATCATGTTAAAATGAACACTTCCTGACATAGACCTTCCCAGAGAGGCTGACGAGTGTGATTCCCTTGAAGGTGGAGCACATGCCCCGGTCTCCACCCCAGTCTGCCAATCCAAAGACACCGTCCACCCCAGTCTGCCAATCCAAAGACACCGTCCACCCCAGTCTGCCAATCCAAAGACACCGTCCACCCCAGTCTGCCAATCCAAAGACACATTCCAATCCTGATGCAATGCATTACGGTTAGATGCATTGTGACCTCTCACCCGGCTGCACAAACTGGAACCGTCTCCGTGACGACACACCTTTGCCCTTATTGGCTGAAGAGTTTAGTTACACGCATGACGTTTGTATCCCAGGCAGTTCCAGTGCGTAATCCATTTCTCCCGAATATCACGTAAAGCAGTGAGAACTAGTTTTCAGTTAATTTACCTGGCAAAATAAAGTTTAAATAAATAACATAAATGCTCTAATAGTACACGTAAGTT